TTTCATTGGGCATGCTACCCAATCAGAATCATTATAAGCTGTCATTTGATTTTAACCCAAAGCCTTTATTAGCAGCCCTTGTCCTGGATTCTTCTTGATATATCTCACAATTCTTAATGCAGTATCCAAGTGAGACTGGTTTGGTTGTTGCATAAAATGACTACGATAATGGAAAATATACATAATGTCTAGTCTCGTATTTGTTAGATAAATCAATATGCCAATAAGCCTTTGAAACCCCACTTTATCTTCCAGCAAAACATCTTCACTATTTTACTGCAATGTTTCATCAAATTATGCAGTCGTGAGCTTTAAATTCTGCTCTAAGGGAGTTGAGCACACATTTGCTTACCCAAACCAGTCTCTCTAATTAGTTCTAGTGCATACTTTCTTTGGTTAAGAAAAATTCATTCCTTAGATCTCACCACTTTAATTCTAAGAAAATATCTCAACTCACCCAAGTCTTTTATTTTGAAATTTTTGTTCAAAATATGTTTCAAATAATCAATCATGTTTGCATATTTTCCAGCTATTAATAAGTCATCTACATAGAAGAGCATTACTACTATTTTCCCATTCTTGTCTCTTAGTGAACAAGGAGTAATCATGTTTGTTTTGCTTATAACCCTCCTTTAACAATGCCTTGGTTAACCGAATATTCTATTGTCGAGATGTCTGCTTCAATCTATATAAATACTTTTGTAGCCAATTGATCGCTTGTAAACATATATGACAAAGAAAGCAAATTTGTGCAAGTATACACAGTCGAATAAAGTAATAAAGGGTAAGTGAGTTATCGTCTCCTCAAGGATTGGTAGGGATTTTGATGTTTCACCACAACTAGAACTAGGTGTCACGAGCTAGTTCCTGAATTCTTGTCAAAACAGAAAAACAATTAGCAATGGATTATATGAACAAGTGTCAAAGCGTTGCTAAAGCAAGAGAATATTGTGAAGTACGGTTGTAGAAACGTTTGGTCGAGGTAAAGAAAATATGCAAAAGTAACAAATAAAAATCACCAAGACAAAGAAAAACGTTGACTCAAATATATTCAGAATAACCTCACATATTCAGACTTTTCACATAGCACTCAGGTTAGTCTTTTGCTATGGCGAGAAATTATTCTAAGTCTGGAAGGATTTGTTATAATATGCTTACGCTGCCCGGCAAGATTACTGAGTATTCTAAGATGGTTTCTATGGCAATACTACTCAACGTTAACTACAACCCTTGGTTTGTCAGACTGTTGTTGTAGCAATACCCCTCAGCGTGAACTATAGTCGTTGTCTATCCTACTCAAGCGTCTATCCCTTTTAGTCGATTGAAACCCTCTCCTTATCTCTAAGGTAGGCATGTTAGAACATCACCATCCCGGATCTATTCCATTGTTCATGTAGATCTATTTTAATTCTCTTGAATCCAAGAATCAATTTCTAGAAAAATGACAATATCTCGAAAACTCTTATAAGGTCTAAAAGTGTTTTGCCTAGGCATCATGCCATCTCTCGAAAGCTCTTACAATGATAAGGAAAAATATTAAAACAATGAACAAAACAGACGTAAGCAAAATCATAATGCATTATTCATGAACCATAAAATAATCATCTCGGCAAAACAAAAACCAATACCAAGTAAAGCAATTCATGGTGTTACCAAAGTGTCATCCAAGAGTATCATCGTTTAATATAAACCCCAAAATAGATTAAAGAAATTAAGAACAAAGGAAGAACGACTCCCAAAATAGGAGGCTCTACCGTGACAACTCTGACCAGCACCGCGCCTGCTCTGGCAGCCAACCTCTCTCGAGGCCTGACTATCGCTCTGCTATAGCCTGGCTGTGGAGGGCACCAAGGACGGTCGGGTTGGAGAACGATGGAAGGTAAGGTATTGTATCTGCTTACTCGATGCCTCATGTAACTTTTATTCTTTCTTACCTCCTCTCTTTTTTGGTAGGTGTGACTAGGTATTTATTAAGGGAATTTTCCTAGGGTTTTACGTAATTAAATATTCCCTAAATATACCTGTTAACTTATCCATGCTATAGATGGAAAGGCGGCTGGATATGATCAGAATATTGGGGGCTTGATTGCACATGAGGTTAGTCGTACAACTGGCAGGTGACATCAGTAATTTGTCAGATTTGTTTCAGACTTGCAAGATAAATCTTGCCTTGGCAAGAAAAATTTGTTCCTCACTGTCATTGTCTTCTGTGTTCCATTGCAAAATATATTTTCACAGATGAAATGTTCCTCCTAAGTCAATTCCTGCACATACACAACCCACAAAAGCCCTTTCTCCTCAATAGCATCAGTTAACCAAATAAATCTTGCCTAGGCAAAACTTATCCACCACATGCAATTATAATCTAAATGCAACTAAATGCAACTAATATACTATGACAACAATGTTTAGACAAACAATAACTTAAGTAAAAAGACTAAATAGAGTCTTTTTACGGAGTTATAATACCCCCCAAACTTAAGCTATTGCTTGTCCTCAAGCAATGTATAATAATTCGTTGAAAAATTAAAATTGTCACAACAAAGTGATATTAAGACAATCATGTGGTTTAAAATTTCAGCCTTCAGCAAAAAGTTTAGCCTCAACATGCTGGGATGTCATAGAATTCAAGTACCTTCCTAAGTCAGGATTCTTTACTAGTGTGTGTGCGTGATTGTACTCAGTCCATGCATTAACGTATTTAAAAAACTTCAAGTAAGTACTTCTGTTTTGCCAAGGCATCAAATTATTCATCAAGCACAATTTACACTTCTATTTATTCACTTTTTTTTTTATAATTTTGAGGGGAGTCAGCTCATCACACCTACCCTTCCACACTCTAAGTGAAAGAGAGCATACATTCTACCCCCGAGCTAGTGAGGTAGAGTCATCATGTGACTACTTTCATTCACTCATTTGCCTAGGCAACCATTTACTTTTATGGAGTTTTCCGGTCATGCCATTATGAAGAGGATAGTCCATTTTATTCCACAAAATTTAAACACTAAAAAGTTAAACTTAAGCTTTACAATTCTTCAATGTCACGACATGCAAAAAGTTCTTTCCTAAAAATTTACTAAGCAACTTAAGTAAAGAAATAATACAATCGTGTTTATAAGTTTACAAAGAATCAAGCCTAAAGTCGGTTCTATCCTTCGACAGTCTTGTAAAATAATTCTGGCATAGGCAATAAAATTTTGCTTTCATCATCGGGAATCTTTAATTCATTCCAAACAATAGTCTTAACATACTCATACCATGACAACTAAAATTTTCAACCAATTATCATAAACTACTATTGACTAAGTGTGAGACACAACACATCCCCCAAACTTGAATGATGCATTGTCCTCAAGTCATGAAAAATAAAAACAAACTACATTAATCTAGATGCAAATGCAAATGCAAAGGGAAAAATATTACCTTATTGTGATGGGGAGGCTTGACTGGACGCACGTGTTCTGCGTCGCTTTGGAGGAGGGGGCTCTTGGATCCAGTGTCTCGCGATGGAATCAAAGAGGGAGATGGCTGAAGGACACGACTTGTTGTTCGCTTAATGTGACGCCTCGTGGTCGGGGTACTTGCTGGTGATGGCCTTTCCCCAGTGTCGGTGGGCTCTGTAGGTGTTGCTTGAGATTGGCTTTGGTCAGGTTCGGGAACTGGTGTAGTATGACAATATGGGGACTGTTCAGATGCTTGTTCAATTGTGGGTTGATCGGGGTCCGGAATGAAATCATCATCTTCAAAAAATTTGATCAGGATTTCCTGTGTGTTTTCGGACGAAGAGAAAGAGGAGCTCAAATATTTATCTGTCTCGCTGTGGCATTCTTCGTGTAGAGGTGAGACATTTGTGGCTAGTGGAGGGACATCTGTGGGGAACTCGGGGGAACATTTTACGTCGAGGCGTGAAATTTTTCTATTGTCTTCTTTGTGTTACAGAATTTTATTGGGAAAGGGCTACAGGTCCTCATCGGTAATTGGGAGTAGCTCATTGAAGAAGGCATTTAGCTGTGTATCACTCACCTTGACATAGCCAAAAAAAGTCTGCATGTGACTTTCCAGGCGCTCTATTCTCTCGTGCGTCTTCCTCTTAGATGTGACTACAAATTATATTCTTGTCGCGGTAACTGATTTCACTCCTCTCTCAAAGCCCTCATGTGGAGCATTATCATCAAAGCTCATGAGTTGTGACACATTCTTTTTGGTTATCCCTTCCTTTGACTTGATAAAGTCCTCGAACGATTCCTCGGAGACTTTTTTCTTCTTGCATAGAGCAATTATCAAGTTAGAAAAAAATAAGGTTACCTCGTTTCTTCTTTGCACAATCATGAATTTGCTCGAAGATAATCTCCCCAACATCAATTGCTCGCCCATAAATAATCGAGTGCAACATCATCAACCTCCTCACTAATATAGTTGTGTTGTGGGAGGTCGACATCAGCTTGCCCTTTAAGAAGTGATTCCACAACTTTACAACTGGCTTAAGGGCTCAACGATCTACTTGCTTACTCGTGGGCATATTTCCTTCAAACTTGGCCCATCTGAAGCACAGGTCTTCCATGATTCCAACATATCTTTCTTGATCTGCTTCGACCAGGAATTTCTTGTGTTGATCCTCCACCTTACCGAGCTTGAAATAATGGATGAGGCTGGTGGAGAGAACCAGATATATTTTCCTCTTACATAGACATTATATTGAGATGGATCTCCTAAATGGGCTTAAAATTCGCGGACCATCACCGGCGCAACTGGCATAAGATCCCAAGAAAACTTGTCTCACTTATGTTTCCTTACTACGTCCATTACTTCAGGTCCAAAGGGTTCGTCACCCTCTGCTAGAAAAATAAAGCCGTCCTCCAAATAGACTTGCCTTTTTTAGGTTTTTGAACCTTGCTTTGGCTTCGGTTGTTTGGAAATGCTCAAATCCTGAGGACATGGCTGTATTTTTCTTGGCTCTGGCCATGGTTTTTTTCCTAGTACATGGTGTATCGTGGCTGCAGTTTGGAGGGAAGAATGAAGAAAACAGGTTGAAGAAAAGAAAATAGGCTGAAGAAAAGAAAACAAGGAAACGGTGAGGAGGAATGGGGGATTGATGGTTTTTGAGAAAAAAATAATGGGTAGTTTATTTGGGCTAAAACGATAAATATGGAAAGGGGAAAAGATACGATATTAATGAGAAGATTTGTTGATTTGAAGTAAAGTAGATAAATATATCTTTCACTCTTCTCAATCATCGCCAAAACCAATTAGCTTAGAGTTTCTCTTCCACCCATGCATGAGCTTCAATCCTATGCTGCTACGTGTACCTTATATGCCTAAAAGAAATAAAAGTATCTAAAAATTTAAACAATGTGCATAATAAAATAACTTAATTTATTTATGTACAGAATTCAAATTTTTGGTTGCCTAGGTAACCAAAATTGTTTAGGAAAGAAAAGCAAACTCTTGGGCATCGTGAGTCATCGATGTCGGTTTATCGCGCATGACTGATGCTCCTTTGCATTCCTTCAGTATTTGACCATTCACCTTAAAGGTGGATCCATCATCTAGGTTCTTGAATTTTATTGCTCGTTGCTATGGACTTGGTGTATGATGAACGGTCCTGACCATCTAGATTTTAGCTTGCCTGAAAACAGCTTGAGCGTGATTTGTAAAGTAACACTTGTTGTCCAGAATAAAATTGCCTTGGCAAAATTTTTCTATCATGCCATCATTTCGTTTTTCCTTTGTATAGGTGGGTATTTTCATAAGCCTGAGCTCTAAACTCATCTATTTCATTTAGTTCCAGTACTTTTCTTTCTCCAGTAAGCTGGGCATCTATGTTCAATTTCTTGATGGCCCAATATGCTTTATGTTCAAGTTCAATAGGCAAATGAAACTCCTTGTTGTAGACTAGTCTGAATGGGGACATTCCTAGTAGTGTCTTGAATGTTGTGCGATAGCCCCATAGCTCTTCATCCAACTTTGGCGACCAGTCCTTGTGGTTTGGGTAACCACATTCTCGAAGATCTGTTCGATTTCCCGATTAGAGACTTTGGCCTACCCATTGGTTTGGGGATGATATACTATGGCAATTCAATAACGTACCCCGTATCTTTTCAGCGCCTTCGCAATTAATTTATTTTCAAAGTGCATGCCTTCATCGATGATAATAGCTCATGGTGTTCCAAAATGCTTAGATATGTTATTGTGCAAGAATTTCAACACGGTCTTGGAGTCATTCTTAAGATGTTGCTATGACTTCTACTCACTTGGACACGTAGTCCACTGCCAAGAGAATGTATAGGTCACCAAAAGATTAGGGGAAGGGTCCCATAAAGTCGATCCCCCACACATCGAAGAGTTCGACCTCCAAAATATTTTTCCATGGCATTTCATTTCTCTTCGATATGTTCCTGGTGCGCTGGCATCTATCACATGACTTATAGAATTGTTGTGCATCTTTGATCAAGGTGGGTCAATAGAAACCATATTGAAGAACCTTTTCTGCAGTCCTCGTTACACCAAAATGTCCTCCGTACGGGGATAAATGGAAATGAAGTAGAATTTCTTTGTGTTATTCTTATGGGACACATCTCTTGATTATTTGGTCACCACATTATTTGAATAGGAATTGTTCATCCCAATAATAGGTTCGCACATCATGTCTGAATTTTTTTCTTCCCTGGCTAGATAAATCTGGAGGCATAATACCACTAACAAGAAAGTTAACTATGTCAGTGTACCATGACACAGCCGTGACAAATAAAATTTTCTCGTCAGGGAAATCTTTCTGAATGTCCTTTATGTCGTGACATATGATTTTGTTTTCTATCCTAAACAAGTGATCTGCTACTTGGTTTTCAGTACCCTTTCTATCCTTTACCTCTAAATCGAACTCTTGTAGTAATAATATCCATTTAATGAGCCTAGGCTTTGTATCTTTTTTATTAACTAAATATTTAATGGCAAAGTGATCAGTATGCACAATAACCTTAGTCCCTATGAGACATGACCCAAACTTATCGAATGCAAATACTATGGCAAGAAGTTCTTTTTCAGTTGTGGTGTAGTTCATCTATGCATCGTTAAGGGTACGAATAGTAGAGTGGATAACATAAAAGTGTTTACTTTTTCATTGTCCTATTATCTCACCAACTGCATAGTCACTAGCGTTACAAATGAGCTCGAAAGGTACGTCCCAGTCTGGTGAAACAACAATTGGTGTCGAGATAAATTTTTTCTTCAAATCTGTAAAAGCATTTAAACATTCATCATTAAATAAAAACTGTTGATTTTGTTGAAGAAAAAGACACAAAGGCTTTGAGATTTGAGAAAAATCCTTTATGAACCGCCTATAAAATCCTATGTGTCCAAGCTGTAACACCCCCAACCCGTATCCGACCCGGATACGAATCTGATGTGTCACATTGACTTTTCACAACATTTACTTGTACAAAACAGTGAATAATTTTAAAACTTTCACTAAATACAATTGAATAATTTACATAAAATACAATCATATGATTTTACAAAACCGATTAGAGCATATCAGATTCAAATCTTTATTTACATGCTAACAATAATCAATATTACAAAATACATACTACTCAATTCTTTTATGATATGATCTTTGGAAAGGAGAAACTGACACGTCTTGCTTAACTTTACTCATTCTTCTCAGAAACTATGTGTAGAATAATCACATTCTAAGTCGTTAAATTAGAGAGACATATAAAACCTATAATGGAACCCATAGAACATTTCACGTAACAGAATGCATACATGCACATATACTATCATTATCAACATCAACATCATGTAATACATTTCATTCAGCAATACACACAATATCACATATAAATCTTGTAACATATTTCATATATCAAAGCATATGCATTACATACAATGTATATATGTTATCTCTTTTATTAACCCATGGCACACTTGTGATTCAGTGTAAACAATAATAACACGATATCATATAATAATGCAAACACTTTTGATATCTTTTATAGGCCCATGTACATTACTGAGAACTTAAGGTATTCGAGTACATTGAGGTTGTGCACTTATGCTGTCACCATATCTCATATGGGGTCCCACTAGGGGAATGTGAAATTTGTCCCGAAGGACCACTTATAACATATATGTCCTGAAGGACCATGTAGAACCCTCAACTCTTGGCATGCCAACTATACCTCTAGCTCTCATATCACATAACATGAGCATTATCATTTATAACAGTTCACATCACTTGTATCATATAAACATGTAATCTCATAACTCTTTCTCATGTAGCTTGTATATCATTCTTGTATGATCTCATAGATCCTTGTATAATATTCTTGTCATGTCACCCATATCACATAGGTTCATATCATAGAACATATATCACATGTGCATGTAATCACATAGATCATATCATATAACTTATATCATTTCTCATGTTTTCATGTAAACACGTATGTCACATATTGTTCATATATGTTCATATATACATCACATAGCACATAGAATAACATATATACTTATACATGTATTCATATACATACTTTCATATAGTCAGTATATCAATGCTATATAACTTATCTCCCAGTTTTACATAATCACATTAATTATATATTATTTTCATATATTTACTTAGTTCAGTTTCACATAGCTTATCACATATACATGTATTCTCATAAATTATCATCAAATAGCTCCTATAACATCTTCCTATGACTTCATAGATCTTTACCATATATTTTATTTATTATAGTTCATTTAAGCCTATAAATCTTTCCCATATAATTTATCTTACATAAATATTTATATACTAAGTTAATCTATTTATTTAGTTCAATTTCACATAATTCCTATATCATAGTTTCCTTTAAGTATATAATTATTCCCTATAACACTTCTCTTGTAGTTTGGTATCATCATTTATATTTATATCTCCTAATTAACATACTATTTTCATAAAGTCTCATAACCTTTCTTGTATAATCACTTACACCATGTAATCTAACTTGTACTTGATTATCTTATATTCACATATATTTGTATCAAATGATTCTTTAGCTTATAACTTATGTCACATGTTCATTTCATTCCTTATATCCTTATCACATAGCTTATTTCATATTTTCATATATTCAGGTAATTCAGTATCACATATCGCATATATATGTAATCATGTAGATCAAGTCATATATAATAACATTTGACACATATACCCATTTTCATGTACTCATGCACACATAAGAATCACATCAATCACAAATCAAATAACATTTTAGGAGTCACTTCTTACCATAGTAACTCCGTCACTGGCTCATCGCAAGCCAATTTTTGTTGGATAACATAAGTACAATTAAATTGCACTCACCTTGACACTTTATATATCCAAATCCACTTTTGTGATTTATCTCTTTGGATTGATCCTAACTTTACAGTCCTTTCAGAACTTGCTTGTACTTGATATCTACACAATCATACATTTAATATCCATATCAGCATTCCAAATATTATAATTCGATCCGTCATTTCTTAGACTAAAGGAAAGATCTATTTTCATTTCCCTTTGTAGTGTATCGGTACCCACTATAGGGTATCGATACATCCTTTACTGGTGTATCGATACACTGCCTATGTATTGATACACAAATTACATTTGAAAGTTTTCCTTTTAAGGGGGTATCGATACACTTCCTTAGTGTATCCGTACACTAACTATGTGAATGTTGCACTTGATTCACCAATCTTTTCAAACTTCCAAAATGATCATATTTCACATCTAAATGCTCATTTTAATTCCAAAACAACAATTTCCAGCATAGTACATCAACTATTAAACAATTATACAAGTATTCACAACTTTTCCAAAATTATCGAATTGGTCCCCCAACTTTTCAAAAATTATAGAATGATCCTCAAATTTTCTCAGGCTTTTAGAATACTTCCTACATTATTTCCAGACCTTATATAATTTTTCCATAATTTTTCTCACTCAAATTCATCATGTTCGAATTTTTAAGGAATAATT